TCGACGCGGGATTCGTACGCTACCCGAAAGATGGGAGAAAGTAGTGGCCAGCGATGGACAATACTTTGAATCATAAATGTATAACCAGTTTCTTACAATAAAGCCTCGAATTTCGGAAAAAAAACGGCGGAAGCAAATGTACATCAATATAATAGAAGTTTCAGATTTTTCGTCTGTTTTGTTATGTTTTTATTATTAAAAATTGATGTTTGTTAGCATTATTATTAAATCTCAATTAGAATTATGAAAACTATTTTTAAAAATCATGTTTGAATTACAGAATACAAATAAACCTCCGCCTTACGATAGAGGAAAATTCAAAGTTTTTTTATTTATAATTTAAAGCAGGTTTGTTCAATTTTAGCTTCGGAAGTAAAACGCAAAGCCATCGATGCAAAAGAAATCAATATGAGTACGATTTTGGGAACTGCTGATACACATCTGACCAATACTCTTATCAATATTATACAGTCCCCGAAATCTTATTCACATTGAATTTTTTTGCGTCGATGGCTTTGTTTTTTTGGCTTCGAAACTAAAATTGAACAGGCCTGATTTAAAGTCTCATAGTATCAATCATACAGATTGTACAAAAATTTTTGTGTCGGGTTCAAATGGGCTCATTACAATAATTGAGAGTTAAATTAATGATTGATGTAATCTATGATGTTATTATTTCAGCTTTAGTTTATAATTGCATTTCAAGTCCGATAGTAAGAATCGCGAAGTTTATATAACTGAAAGATGTATTTAAACATTTATACATAACTATTATCAGGCACCACAAAATAATCTATAAGTCTCAATTATATTTGGCCCTTCTTTATTTATTTGTTAAAAACTGATTTATGCAGTGTTTGCAAAAATTGAAAAAGAAGATTCGCGAAAGAGACGAGATACAGATATTCTGCGAGATACATCGTCAGAATTCAGGGTTAACGAGTATGCAACGTGATAAGTAGAATAATAAGGGCAATTAATACAATAGAATGGGCGTAACCGCTCTCTGGTATTTATCTCCAGAATGCAGTGACAGTTCCATTTGGCCCCACTATTTAACCAGCGTAGGAGTTTTTTCAGAAGCAGCTCACAAACATTTTCCGGCCTTGTTGCGGCCCGGTTGCGGCCTGTCCATGCGATCTGTTCACGCAGGATGGTAGATGCTGCAAGTTAATTCGAGCGCATCCCTCATTCGGGAATGCAGTACGCGACGGTGATCCCAGCGCGATAAACGCGCTTAATATCTTACAATTCAAATCTCGTTGGCGTCTCTAGCGATTAACGCATGTTGCTATAATTACTTAACCCGTCGGTAACGAACCGCACAAAGATCTCTTGCACATTCCTCCCGGATGCTGCGGAGAGACGTCAGTTCGGTCGATCAACCGTAGTTATGCAATACAGAAATTAACTGCGCAAATGAGATTTTTAGTTGAAACTGAATTCATTGAATTAACTGCAGTTTGCGTCTAGTTAATAAAAATTTACATTTGGCCGATCAACTTGAGAGTCCGCAATCGTACAGACCCTACCCACACAGCACATTAGGTCTGTTTTTTGTGGCTGATAGTGTGGAACTTAAAATGACATAGATATATAATTGATATTTGGTGAAAGCGAGAAAGAAAGTTCTAATGCAATTTAATATAGGAATAAAAAACGGACCTTTTATTTGACAGATCTTTTATCCTAAAAAACGTGAAACATTCTCTGGATGTTTTTAGGACGTACCTTGAAGATTTGTTGTACGGATCGCAACTTAACTAAATCTCTGTTTTTTTGCAAATTTCAATCGCGAAGATTAGACATATCTGCACATTATATATTTTATCAAAAGGACATTCTGAAAACATTCTCAGAACATAAAATATTCTATAGACGGTTTTACGCCCTTGTGTATGAATAGTCGCAATTTAGCTAAATTCCTAAAATCTTCTGCGAACTATGGACCCAAATATTTTGCTCCTATCGAAACTCGGTTTTAATTGATTGGAATATTTACGGGACATGGCATTGATCACGCCTCAAGATACTAATGCGATGACACGCTGCATGCATACTATATTGATACATTCCGACACATGTGAGAGTGCGATCGTATTGCGGATTCCGCGCATTGATTACGCCGTTATGTCGTCCGCAAACGCTACTCCACTGAATAACTCCTGAATTCCGTTCTCTGTTTACACCGTCTTAATGATTAATTCATGCACGTTATTCTGAATGCAGTCCGCGTTGAGATCCGACTTCTTATATATGCGAGTACGGACAATGTGCAATGGAATGACTTCGCTAAATTCATTGAGTGTGTGGACTGTGGACGCTTAATAGCGGAAACTGGAAGCAAGCGTATCTCTTATCATTTAATCGAGGCTACTCTGCAATGGATGTTTCAACATTTCAACAAAATTTTTTCTGGGACGTCTCTCAGAGATTCAAATCATTACCTCTGTTTGATTAATCGCATTTTCTTTATATAATTGATTTTTTACTGATTTTATATAAATCACTTCATATAAATTTTAAAAGAATATATAATTTTTTTTATTTAGTATATACATTTTTTATTGTAAACATTGCGTTTAAAAAATTTATGAATAAGCAAAATTAAGTTTATCAAAAATTATTAAAATTATAATTATATATAGAAATAATTATATCTATATAAATTATTTATATATAATTATAATTTAAATAATTTTTAGCATGATAGTTGAAAGAAGGAAAAACTTAAACTGTTTCGACTAAAATATTATCGGATTAAAACTTTTCACATCGTTTATACACTTTAAAGCAACTGGGAAGCTCGTTCACATTCTGTTCCCTTCAATCGCAAATTACTATCGCGAGTTTCAGTCACTTCTTGGCTCAATGAGACGCAACGAAACTTCAGACATCATTAACGCCCGATCAAAGCAATTTTTTTTCGAGAAAAATGGAACGTCTTCCGATGGTCTTTTCAGCGCCCTGAGGAAACGCGCGGCAGGAAATCATCCAATGCAACAACGTACCTGAATCGCAAGATGCGAACGGTAATTCGATTTCCATCGACCATTTCTATCGAGCGTTAATCGACTGACGCGGATTTCCAGACGCGGAAAAAGCGAATTCGTGCGACGATAACGGGGATAATCTCGTTTCGTTCCCTCAACGGAGATATCGTTTAATTTATGAACGCGCAATTAAGTCAGCCATTTCTTGTGAGGCGAGGTCAACCCTTCGAGAAGACTTACTCATCCACTCGCTCTCTATCCCCCCCCCTCTCTCTCTCTCTCTCCTAAAGCCACGACGACATCACGCAACTTCCGCACTTCGTCGCAGAGTTCTGCTTTCACTTTGCAAATTATTTCCGAATCATTTCACTCGCTATCTTTTCGAACGTCATCGGCCGGGATGAATACCGGGAAGAGAGCGAGTAACTTGTATTCGAGAATTCGTACTCCGGACAAAGTGTATATGCGCATACGCGACAGTTCACTCAATTATAGCTTACTCGAGAAGCGGAAATATATAAAATAAAAAGCTTATCCTCTTTTTAGATAAACTGGCAAAAATTCAGAATTACAAATACACACATTTTCAAGATAAATTGAATAAATATATATATACATTTGTTTTGCAAAGATTCACATGTAAAATAACATAGATAGAAATGTAAATAAAACATAATAATAGATAACAACAAAAATAAAATACATTCTTGAGATAATTCTTGTGTAAAAATATTTTATAATAAGTATCATTGTGATGTATTTTTTAATATATCATAGATCATTTATGATTTCTGTAATTGAATTAATTTTTGATTAACTAAGTTTATCAATTTTAAATTGATAAATCATTATAGTTTAATTTTTTAATACTTTATATAAGAAATTAATGCTATATATTTAATTTTTTGACAAGTTTTATTTGTAATATAAATACGTAGTTATTTCGTAATTAGAATTTTAGATAATATATAAACTATATATATTAATTATATATTATTGACTGATTTAATTATCTTCGTTCCGTTAAGTTGTACATCGGCAGCAAATCGATCAAAATTTCGTAGTCCTAATTTGTTTCAAAAAAAGGCTGAAATCACCGGAAAGTTTTCCGGAAAGAAGAAGTGAAAATGTAATCGTCAATCGTTAATAGTAGATTATCGGCACAGAAGTTTTAACTAATTGAGCTGATCGTCTTGAAAGAACTTTTTTTATACAAGCTTTGAATAATTATATCGTTTATTCAGATATGTATTTCCTTAACTTTATACTAACGCATCTTTATTCAATTCAAAATTCTCATTTTCTACATTATTTTCTCGTACTCAGAAAAACATACTTTATTTTTAATCTAAAAATTTACATTAATACCAGCAAAATTAAAATCAACATAACTCGTCAAGGTACAATAAAATATAATTTAAATTTGTTATCTATTTAATTGTTATGAAAATAACGTGTCGAAAAATAGAGACTCATATTAATATAGACTTTAAAACTTGACAAAGACTGCGAAATAACGGCTCATTAGATTGTCGCAAAAATCAAGCTCCCAAATATTAAGATATTTAGGAATATTGCTTATTAGCGGTGCATGGATTTCTAGAATAAATTGTTCATACTTACAGATATGAGTTCTCCTTATCCCAGGATACTATCTCCGTCACGACGAAATAGCCGGAGGTGAGGGCAGTAGTGATCGGCCTGCCGCTGGTTGCATTCGTAACAAGCACAATGTGTCGCCAATTGCTACCATTCTTCTGTATCTGCGGTAATATCAGAAGAAACGACATACCATCCTCGCTGAATGTAGGCGCTTCAAATTGCTCTACCCAGCCATTTGTCTCGCTATATGAAAGTGCCTAAGAGCAATCAAACAATCCTGGTTAGCAAATTGCGTTCTGTCAATTTATTTAAGATATATCATCGTGCATAAAAGATGTAAAGATTTTCTTGCCATTGCGTTCGATGTGATGATATCACACACACACACACAACACACACACACACATACATTTGTATATTCTTGAAAAATTATTTCTTAATTTTTTTCCATATAGAATATCTAATTTTCTTTTTTCTAACGCTTTTTTTCCATTGCTTTTAATTTTTTTATTGGTAAAGATACATACATTTCTTGTATATGTCTCTTAAGTTTAACATTTTGATTGAGAAAAAATTTTACAATATATTTTTATGAATATTATAAGTGCAATTGAATTGAATATCATACTGCAGTGTGTTATTTCCACATTGTGACGTTTAAGGATTGAATCGACATTGTATTTTTCGCGAAAATATACGAGTTAAAATAAAGCGTATTAATAAAGCGATCCATGAAAAAGGAAACTATTTGCTTTTCTCCTTTAACAACACAAAAAATACACGATTAGTCATACTTCATAATTACAATTTTTTATAAGAAGTTTTTTCCATATTTTAACGCAACAGCTAATTCGCATGTTCAAAGTAAAAAAAATATTTCGCAAAAGAATTATTTCTCGCAATATAAAGTTAATTTCACACTTCTAACGACATTTATCACAGAATTTTGTAATACGAAATCTTTACCGATACTTGGAAATTTGTAACGTCCAAGTTTCCCCAGAGAAACGTCGTGAAAGACTTGCGCGAAAGTGCGAATTAGCTGAGCCGCAGGCAAGCGCGCACTAATTAAAATACTATTGCCTAACTAAAGGAAGAACACTTGTCTAAATTAAGATTCGCGGAAACTCGAAGAAAGAGAATGAAGAATACAAAGAAAGAGAGAAAGTGGAATCTCCATAAAGAGTACTATCAAACGAGTTCCTTCTCTCTCTCCCTCTTCTTCTCCTCCTAGTTCTGTTCAGAACTGGAAGATTGTCTTTCTCGCGTGAAAATGAAGAAATACCTACTGTCGTGCAATTTGGCACCAGACTGTCGACATCGCAAAGTTGGAAATACGCCCTATTCTGCACCCGGTTCATCCAAGTTGCGTACACGAGACTGTCCGTGGGAAAGTCCACCGCTGACAGAATTCTTTCGGAAGTAGACAGTTCTGGCGGATGTTCGATCTCCACCAAAGTCACGTTACCTTGCACCACCATGTCGAGGTCGATGCAAAATAGTTTAACTGTTGGATTGGTCGTGCCGCTCTGGAACGGAAAGACAGATTTCTCGTAAAGACGGATCGACGTCACATATACCGATGGCAAAGTAGCGAGGTAATGGAAGATTATCGAATCTTCTATTATATATAATAAATAGATAGCAAAGAAAATAGTGCAAAGAAAATATATCAATAAAAGAAGACATAGCAGTTAAATCGATTTACTAAATAAGACATTCATTGCGCAAAAATATTATTTATATATGAAATACATTCTTGTTCCTATTTAATACTGAGAAAAGTTACATTTGATATTTATGACTGTAATTGCATAAAATATTATGGAACTCTATTTTTGTTATTATTATAAATATATGTTATTATTATAATGTTAATAATAATTATATTTATAATACACAGGATATCTCAAACTTTTTGACATATCGCTAGCAAGTAGCCCTGATTAAATTAATTATAAGTCAAAAAATTTTATAATTTTCACAATAGTTAAAATATTAATTTCTTAAAAATTGTTGAATATGCGAGTAAAATTGACGCATAAAATAACTTTAAGATATCTTTTAGAATTCTTTGTGAAATATCTTAAATATGTTTCTTAAAAAACTCTTAAAGATAACTTAAAATTGCTTTATATCGATTTTTACTCATTGAGTAATTAAAAAAAGATTACGGAAATTGCAAAATGGTAGAGTAGTACTTTTTGATTCAGTCCGCTCTATTTGTCTACAAACATGACGTGCCAAAAAGTTTAGGACATTCCATATATGATTATAATTATATATACACACATATACGGAAAGAGAACAGTTGTACAAAAGTAGAGCATCAATATTACGGATAATAGGGTAATGATCCGCTAAATTGAGGCAAAAGCGGAAGTCGCATACCCATGTGTACTATCAGTGTACCATTTACATAGCCATTTACACTGTTACCAGCGAGTTTTGTGTACTGTCAGGAGTGAGTGGTTCGTTTATTATTATCATTTTATTTAGCGAGTTCAATAAGAAAAAAAAATGGTGAATGGCGAGCGGATTGCAGTAGAATTATATATTCTTTTAATGAAATAAAAATATGACTTTCTTATGTAATCATTATAATTTAACCTATTTGTGTTTTGACACATTAGAACTACAACGCTCGAGTATGTAGCAGATTATTGCATAAACTTTGTCAAAAAAGGTTATAAAATGTGTCATTTTCTACAAGACCAAGAAAGAAGAAAAATTTGGACTAAACGACGATAAGATTGGATTCCGTCTGATAATTCGATGTTATGTGAGGTTAGAAAAAATTTGCTTTTATGATTGATTTGATCGGAATGCCGTCAATCACGTAGTTGACTATCTCTTCGTCTATGAGAACCTTGTTGGCTAGAATAATTTTTTGTGACAATATTCCGCAAATATCTCATCGTACTGCCACATTTTGTTTTCAAACTGTCTTCTTAGCGTCAGTTTCTCGTTGTCCGTCTATGCGTCTTAGTAATTCAGAAAGACAAAGAAATATACGTAGGCATCGAGTGAAACCACTCCTCAGTGTTTCCAATTAACTTCGCTCCTAGCAAAAATTTAGTCCAACTGATATGTGCTCGTAGCATCATCAATAATTGTTCCTTTCAACACTGATGAAGTCTTCTTTCCGTCAAACGACATTTTTTTTAGATTGATTAAGTTAACCTTGTGTTTTGCCATCTTCGTATTAGAATTACGCAGGCAAAAGTCGATTCCATATTCGAACGCAACTGTTCATTCTCTCGTAAGTTCGATCTCGAATCGTAATAATTCTCTCTCTTGCTTATCGAGTTCATGTTCTTTCTGCAACAGACTCGCAGATACATCCTGCGAAGTTTCTTGGAAGACGAACAAGGAACATAATGTTTTTTTCGTGACTTTTTTTTTTATTATAACAATATAAGAAGGGATACAGCCATTAAGAACGAACTTATCAGGTAGGAACTACATACAAGACTAATATTACTAGTACGTGCTTAAGGTACATTTCCATTGCTGAGGAGAATGTAAGATTCCCCTCATAATCAGATTATGCGCTCATATATTAGATTATTTAGCTTATAATTAAAGATCATAAAATAAAATTTTACTCTTCATCGAATCGCGCAAAAACATATAAATAATATCGCGCAAAAACATATAAATAAGCTAGATTGACAACTATTGAACAGATCCATAAAAACTAATCTAAAACAGCAGACAATTATGAGAAATATCTTTTCTTAATAGTTAAATATGTAATAACATAAACTATAATAACTTAAATTAAGGTAACATAAAATAAAATAACAATTACATGTCGCTGCGTTGATTTAAATTAAATCAAATTAACATAAATAAAAGAACGAAAATTAGAACATTAAATAAGATCTTATCAATAGAGCAGATAAACGTATTTAAAATATAAATTGTATCTTCATTAATTGTATGAGATATTCGATAGGGTAAGGGAGGAGACCTCTCGTCCTGACCAAGGCATTTTGCAATACCTGTCTCTGTTCCGTAAGCACTACATTCGCAAAAGACATGATTTGAAATTTCATACGCATCTAACACACAATGAAGAATCCATATGCCGAAGCGGAAAAAACTTTTCCTTAAGGATGTGTGGCCCGACCTAATTCTATTAATAATCGCGATTGTTCTTGGCTGTTTTCCAGCTAGGACGCAAAGACATTACATTGTGTTCCACTGTGTAAAGTATTTGTTGAACGCAGTTTAATTTCATAGTGTAACATCAGAATGCATTGCAGTCTTCCATTCTATTCTTATAATTATATTTAGCGTGTCAATAATATTTATGATTTTTATTTAGATTTAAATTATAATTTTTTCAGAATTGACTATTTTTGAAGGTTTTATTGCAAAATAAGTACGACTATCAAATAATTTTTTGAAAAGTTGATAACATTGACATATTTTACACGCTCGTTCTTAGCTTTTTACTGTATCGAGCAATATAACACTGTGTCATAGTTGGAACACTTTGTGTAAGACACAGTGTTACACTGTGTTACCTATGTACGTTGTTGGAAAACACCCATTTTCTTTATTTTAAATTTCCTGAACCAAACATGTTTGGACTCCAAACATGTCAACATCAAATATTTATTACATTATCCTGCACCGCGAATAAGCGACTCATCGCTAGCCCACCCAAACAATTCACTGTATATCTGTCGGTTCCATAGATTTGAGAATTCAGAAACTGATTCTCAGTTGGATATTTCTGTCAGAGATAATAGCCTCCTAGCCAGTCTATCTGCTTGTTCGATGAAATCCCTATATGGTTAGGAATCCATATGAGCTTGACTTCAATTCCCCTGCATCAAACGAAGGATGCTATCCCTAATAAAGAGAATGAGATTTACCCCAGTGATCAAACTGTGCGTTCACTGCATTAAGGATCGATTTAGAGTCCGAGAAAATAATTAACTTGGACTACCCGTAGTTATATCTTAGTTCCAGAGCCGTGAGAATCACCATTGCTTCGAATATGAAGAGACAAAACTCGCACATCTATATCCTTCCGAGATATTGATACCACTGCAAAACTAGCATATTGCAAGTTTTCTACACATGACATCCATCAAAAGACATATGGATGAACTAATCTCCTCGTTGAATAATCCTAAAAAAGTGACCATTTATGTACGCCTACCAAAAAATTTATCATCTTCAAGGTTAATCTCTGGATGAAAAAACAAACCATCAAATGACTTTGAAAAGCACAACGGATCATCATGGTTAGGAAGGTAATGCTTTTTAGCATCTACGTCCTTCTGAGCTACATAATCGGAACTCGACGCAATCGCATTGCGTGGGAGTTTCTGCCAATTCTCTAAGCTTTTCCAAGGATTCAAAGAAGTAACTCCTAGAGTTGTTGCTAGTCTAGACAGGAAATTTCTCTCTAAGTATCGGAATCTAACAAGCAGGGGAGACTCCTTCACCTCATACAGAATAACATTAATCGGAGTACTCTGTCTATAACCCATGATCGATCTAAGAGCTCGGTACTGAATTCTTTTAAGCTAAAGTAAAAGCTTATTCGAAAGATGAAACCCCCATATTCTAGCCTAGATCTAATTAAGACGTGTTAAATTAATTTAGTAACCTTGGATCGGAGCCTCACCAAAGATGCCCGATGCACTTTATAATTCGTAATGGACAAATACAATGACTTTTGATATAACGTGAGTAGATCATTAAATTAGATTGTAAATTCATTCCTTTATTTTATCAGAATTTGCAATTACTTCTCTCTGAATCCAAATCGAAAAAGATCTTTCATTATACTTAACTATGTTATCATGCCTGAGCTTTAAGAGCTTTATTACTCTTGCTAAATACATATAACTTAGTCTTCTCTGCTGACAAGATCAAGGTTATCTAACGCAGCAGAAATGTCAGCTGCACTCAGCTTTCGATTCTATTCAAAGATTCCTCGACCGAGTCCATAGCAGAAAATATGCACACATCGTCTGCGTACTGAATTATCTTGCACTCTTAGGAGTTGATCTTCTCCAATTCGGAGACGTAAATACGAGGGCAAGTCAATAAGTTTTTAGAAAAACACATTTTTCTTTATCGATTCATTTTTATTTTTCAACATAATCTCCTTTCAGCTCGATACACTTGATCCAACGATTTTTCAAGCCGTTTGAATAATATAATTTGTCCAACCCTTCAAAATAAGCCTCTGTTTCGGCGATGAGCTGCTTTCTGGTAGTGAATCTCTTTCCTCCGAACCATTTCTTTAGGTTTGGAAACAGAAAATAGTCGCAAGGGGCTAAATCTGGCGAATATTCTGAAGCAATTTGTAGGAATTCGTTGAATTTGGCCATCGACCAAATACGGTGCCGGGCACGTGTAAACCCATGCATTTTCTTGATGACGGGAAGAGCACTTTCTTCTTCGCCAAGTGGGGACGTTTTTTCTTTAAAATGTTGTTGAACGATCCAATAAGACTGTGTAGTAATCGCCATTGATCGTTTGCTTTGATGGAAGGTAA